GCCAGCTCCTCATTGGAGACGTACTCAATTAGATCTCGGGGCAGCTTCGGCTTCATCGACTCGTGCAGCTTCTCCCAGAAGGTGACGCCGTCGCGGTACTTCTCGCGGAAGGGCACAAAGTCGCCCTTCTTGAAGTAGTGGGTGGCCACGGCTCTCTAAGGTAATTGAAAACAAAATCATCATAAGAACCTCTGTTCTAAACTGAATGAAAATAGAAACTCTGTTTTTCCTTCTAGAAAATTCACTTACCATCTCCACCAGGAGATCCTGCGTGAGAAAGGCGTCCCTCGTCACCGTGTAGTGAAACTGCATCGGCCGGCCAAAGTCCTTCACGGCGCTGACGTAAATGGGCGCCACCCAGAACATCTGCATCAGCGAGACGAGGCGGGCGGTGCGCGGGTAATAGGGCGAGACGATCAGCCCCACCACGGGCGAGTAGTCCGACGCCGGAAGTCCTCCACTGCCTCCTTTGCCGCCCTTTTGCGGGCTACTGTTGGGCGACACTAGAAACTCCTTCTGGTAGCGCAGCTGCCGCTTGACGTCCAGTATGGTCGGGTGGGGGCTGGAGCGGACGTGGGAGTGGTACCAGCCGACGAGGACGGTGTTCCGCTCGCGCATCGTCGCCTTGATGCGGCCAACTGCCTCGGCGCGAAGTTTCGCCTGCTCGGCGGTGTCTGCTGTTGTAGAACTTTTAATTTTCGCCGTACAGGAGGCGTACATCAGCGGGTAGGCGCTGGTGATGGTCATGTGCTGCGTCCGCGGGTCCCAGGTGCCGCCCAGGAAGCCGGCCACCTCGTTGGGCACGACGTGGGCGTGGAAGTCGACCAGCATCAGGACGTTGGTCATGACGGTGACGAGGAAGGGCTGGAGGCCGCCTGTGACGGCGAAGGGCACCGCCTCCACTTTGAGGTCCTGCTTCTGCAGGCAGTCGCGGCTGTTCAGGTCGATCGAGGCAAAGTTCACTACCTCATTTGGGTCGTTGATGTTCTCGCCGTTTAGCTCGGTGTCGCCGAGGCTGATTTTGTCCAGTTTGTAGAGGCGTTCTGNAGTCGCGGCTGTTCAGGTCGATCGAGGCAAAGTTCACTACCTCATTTGGGTCGTTGATGTTCTCGCCGTTTAGCTCGGTGTCGCCGAGGCTGATTTTGTCCAGTTTGTAGAGGCGTTCTGGAAAAAAGAGAAATATTTTTAGTCAAGTTTAGATTTTATACATTGTAACCCTTTCCTAGTACCTCGGTTCATGTAGCTGTAGATGTTCTTTCCACCGCCG